GGGCCGGGCCGGGCTGGACTCGCCGCCCGCTGCGGCGCTTCGCTCTGGCTGGAGCCGCATTCCTCCCTGCTCACGGGCAGTCTAAACGTAGGAACTGCCGGGAGTCCCGGGGCCAGCCATCCCGACGGCCTGTGAACAGCACCGGCCGCCTGCTGTGACCATGTAGTTCATCGTACGCAGCAGCCGAAGCGGGGATGGGCAGCCTGAGGCCCTGTCAGCTCGTGTCCCGCTCGGCCGGTCCTCGCTACGTGCCCTGGGCTTACCCAGTGCGAACTGTGGCGCTGAACCAGGGACGAGCCCGGCCTCTGCCGAGGCGCAGGCTCTGCCCTCTCCCACCGGCCCAGGGAAGCCGGGGATTTGGGGAGCAGCCCGGGATTTGGGGAGCAGCCTGGGTTTTGGGGAGCAGCCTGGGATTTGGGGAGCAGCCCGGGATTTGGGGAGCAGCCTGGGATTTGGGGAGCAGCCTGGTCGTACTGGGCTGAGCAAACCCCATGGCACAGCCGAGCGTGTGGGCTGAGATGTGGGGCGCGGGGAGATATAATCGGGTTGTGAGCTGCAAGCAGAGAGCAGATTAATGCGGATTTGAACTCCTTGCTGAGGCAATTGGAGGGGACGTGTTCAGGCGTTTGCAGTGTGTTTGTATTTGGTATAAGCTTTCCTCTCCCGCATATGCACGTTGGATTTAATAGCACAAATGCAGACCTTTGCCTTCGCCTTTCAGAGGAACATCTCATCACCACGGAGGTGTAGTCACTGATACAGCTCCATGCAGTCACAAGACCCAGTGCAATAGAGACAGAACATAAACAGCATTTGTATGCACATCTGAACGACAGTAATAATGCAGGCAGACACAGGCAAATTCAGCTGAATTTGTGCCTTCTGAATATGCTGTGTTTTTTAGCTCCATTGTTTTTGGGGTTTTCTTGGGTCAGCCCTATTGTGCCATTTTCCTGTAGACCTTCAGATGCCCTCTCCTTCTCAGTATGCCCTGTGCTAGAACACTGTATTCAAGTGGTTAAATTTCCATGATGCAAGTAGAAACAAACCTTATAAACCTTGTCAGAGGAAGAAGATTCAGTGGTATTAGATGGCAGGGTTTAAAATGTTTAAAGCCTAAATGGGGAAAAGAGCTTGCAAGGCTTTTCTCCTACAGGTTGAAGTACCAAAAAGGCATGGACCTGTGGTTCTGAAACTCCTGCTTAAGGTCCAGCAGGGCCAGACTTCCAGATGTGGTGTGGCATGCTCTCTGCTGTGTATCTGTGAGTAAACAAGAGATGGTTTTATCTCTCACACATATTTAAGTCCTTTTATCTGAGGAAAGAAAAAGGGAATAAAGATGAACTCCCAATGGAGAAATTATTTCTATTATATAAGTCATATTTTCTCTAACTTTGAGAATAATTCTGAGTCAAAATCCCTTTGCCAAAATACAGATTGGTATAAAATTTATCTGAACTGAGGAGTGGCCTTAGTAAAGCTGTAGGAAGTGCTTCTCTCCAGTTGCTCCCTGGAAGATCCCAGCAGCAGTGGCAAGTGATTGCAGAAGTTTTCTTCTGTACCTCTTCACAGCCACAGAAGAAACATTCCAACCTGCTTCTATTTGCCAGGTCTCTCAGGGTGGGCAGGAAGAAAACCAGAGAGGACTAGGCTGCACCTGATGCTGGCCAAGCCACTATTTTTTGCTGTCATCAGAGGTAAACATTAACATTGCCATAGAACTCAATAGATTGAGCTTTTTTCTAGAACAGTTGTATTTAATGACAATTATTTAGCATGGTTTGTTGTATGACTTTTTTCCCTGTACAGTGTCTTCCCTACCTCTCTTAAATCTGTGATTTTGTGCCTCAGTGAGCTTATTATTACTGTTTCTTCTTTCTTTGTTTATTAAAATAGAAAGTATGCTATGTTATGTTTGGGTTATCTGATCTGATCTGATCTGCTCTGCTCTGCTCTGTACACCAATAGTTTTTGGAAGCGCACCCAAGATAATTATTACTTGCTGAAGTCAAGGTGAAGTCTGTGAGTGACTAAATGTGCACACATATATGTTTGCATTGACAGAGGTCATCTGGTGCATTATTTTATCTACGTGTTGCTTAGTTTCCAAGTTATGTAGGAGGCCTAGCAAATGGAGCTGCTGTAACTGTGACTAGGTATGTCTTTGCATTATTTGCACTGTCATTGAATTTTATGGAGAAAATACTTTCTTTTTGTGTCTGCATACTGTTGTTTTCTATATATCTGCATATCGGAAACTTTTATGCTCAAGTATTGATATTTATTTCTTTGTAAGCTTAAAACTGTGCAAGAAAACAGAAGATATTAAATAAATAGAGGAAAAGTAGCCAGCAAAATAATACAAGTACAACAGGACACAGTGAAATAATTAACCCTAAGTTCATGAAACTGAGGTTCAACAAAGGCTTGCAGGCAGCCTGCCTAATAGCAGTTATATAATAGCAATAATTTGTTGCCTTGCTGCAGAGCCCTTTTTACTCCCCCTCTTCCCCTGATAAAATGTTTAGCACACCTTGTACTGTGCTTCAGGGGCTTGAGCACATGAGCTTATTGTTTTGCTGTTTATACCTCTCTTTCCCAAATGCCTGGAATTTCTGGTTCCCCAGCAACCCCAGGGGTGTCCAAATCCTGCACTTTGCACTATGCAATAATGTCTGTATGGTCTGGAGTGGGTTTAGGGATGAAAAGTCATGGTACTTTAACCTGCATAAAAAGCAAGGAATGAAACCTGCAGACTGTAGTACCTGAATTTCATAAGAGTGGGTCACAGGGAGAATTTCAGCCGTGGTGATTTATGAATTTGGAACCACTTAACGACTCTGTCTTGCTTCAGTTTATCCTGTCCTCTGAGACATTATCCATCCAACACAAGACTGATCCCTGATAACTGTAGGAATGAAAACTGACATATTAAACAGACTTACCGTGGTCTGAGGTTTTCTGCACCCACTGTCTCTCATCAGTTTTAGAAAATTATTGCCTTCACCTACAGAGGGCTTATTAATGTAAAATTGCAACAGTGGTATTATAATGCAGTGGTAGCATAATGCAGGAAGGGCTTTGCTGCTGAATTTTTTTTACCTTTCTGGTAGGAAAGTATGTAATTGAGGGGGGCATCAGCAGGGTTAGGAAAGGAAAAGCAGCACTGTAAGGTACTTAGCTGTCTTTTCCTCATAGTTAAACTAAGTGTTCCATTTGGCAAGCAATAACCTTCATGACAATAACTCTTAACTATATTGTCATCTCTTTGGTGTCAGAACTTTTCGTACAGAAATACAGACACATTTTGTGAAAGCAGGGAAGTTGACTCTATTAATATTAAACCTTAGGGAGCTTCCACAGGCTTGTGGTTCTCCTTCTCCCAGATCATCTCAAATTTCAGTCCTGCCTTCCAAAAATTGTAAGATGTCCATTTTGGAGCATAATGTTGGAAAAAACTTCATAAGTATCTTGTTCCTTGTTAGATGATCTCATGTGATTGGATGCTGCTGTTCAGAACCATCCTCTTCTTGGAATCAGATTTTCCAGAGACTGATTATGAGAGGGTTTAAGGCTCCATCCTTTGGATAGGGCCTTACCAAAAAGCTGTCAAAGGGGCTCGTGGTGTGTGTAAGAGACACACTTTTGAGTGACATCCTTAGCCTCACCCTGCTGGAGGTTGATCTGCTAAGGTCATTGATAGAGCATCCTGTAGATACCCAACTGCACCTGATGTTGGAAGACCATGACACAATGATACCTGGAACTTCTGTGAATGTCCCCCTTCCAGGTCACCCTTCATACTTTCCATCAGCCTGTGAGAATTCCAGCATGCTTCCACCATCAGGGAGTTCCAGGGACTGTTCCTTGATTTGAGAGGACAAGAATTAATATTAATTATGAAAGTCTTTTGAGAAAAAAATGAAGATTAACCGGCAGTGTCGTATGTCTATACAGTTTTCAGAAAACAGGAATGTCGGAGGAAATGAATACCCAGTTTGTAGAAGCACTGGAAGACACAGAAATGTGAATAGTCTGCCTGGTCCTCATTACTTCTCTCTCTACTACACTTTACCTGAGAAATTATGGGAAAAAAAGAAGGTAAGTTTTAGTTTTCTAACTCAGTTGTATTCTCATAAGATTATTTTTCTAATTCAGATTACTATCCCATAAGATAAGTCTGCCAACTCAGGCTGCTATCATTGCAGACATATAAAGGCACTGAAATCTTAGTTGTGGGGTTGCAGTATATATGTCATTAACAATAAAAGGGCTTGTGTTGTAGACAAGTCTTTTATTGGAAGAATTTAGATGTCCTCCAGAAGAGTCAAAAACTGCATGTGCACTATGAAAGATGTAAGGAACAAAAGAGGTAAAAATGGCACATTTCATTTGAACAGAGCTCTTCAGGAATCAGTCAGGAAGATCAAAAGACAAACTAAGATGCCTGAGAAATAAGGCAGGAACTGATATTGTCAGAAATCCATCAAATCACAGTGAAAAACAGAGCAACATGAATTGCTGAATATTGGCAGATAAAGAAAGAGAAAAGGCCTGGATAATTTCCATGAATTAGCCACAGAAGTAGACTCAAAGTGAGAAGGAAAGAGAAGCATTTAAAGGACAGAGATAACATTATACTGGAGAATTTGGCGAAAGGAAAATGTCAGCTCCAAAGCTGGTGCTTCTGGATAGTAGAATTAAAATAAGGCACATCAGAAAGATTGACTCAAGAGTGGACCAAGACAGAAACTGAGATGCTTCAAAAGAAATGTGGATATACTGGGGGGAAAATAGTGTTTACTGAAATAACCATAATTTATAAAGAGAAGAAACTTGGATTAAAGAATAATACTCATAAAAAAATTACATACTAATAATACCAGCATTTAGTTCATGAATCCTGGAAACTAAAGTAGGAGCCAGTTGGGAGAAAAGGTAAATAATGTTATATTGTGTGTCTCTACTATTACTTTAATCAGCCTGACTTTTATGTTAAGAACACTTAAGCTAGAAAAACCTGTTCATCTCCTGTACAAATATTAGTATAAAATAGATGTCTCAGATCAATACCACATCCACTAGCCATTAAACACCTTGTAATCAAACAAAATATTTAGTTTGTTTCAAAGCCAATCCCATGCAGTCAAGCTTATTTCGTGTTTTATCAACACTAAAGGATACCCTGTCATCTCTTATCTGTCTTCTCAAGGAAAAAGAACTCCTTTTTAATTAGGTCATTGCAGTCCTAATGTGCTGCTGCTCTCATATAGATTCTTCCTGGTATATTACAGTGGATAAATACAGTATAGCATTTAAGGAGGTTTGATGCTGGCATGGATATATTAATATGCAGGCTGTAGAAGAGGTAGAGATGACAGACTTTGATAATACAAATTCCTTTCCTGAGTTTTGTCCCAGTTCTGACCAAGCCTAAGGCTGGCATTTAAGTTAGGGTCATTTTTACCAATACTGCCAAGCTAAATATTGATAATTGATATCAAAGGCCTACACTGTAGCCATTGAATAAAATCTGCTTTTCAAGTCTGTCGTCATTCAGTGCTTAAAATTCTAACAAAGATCAAGAGATGATCATCCTATATACATAATTCTGAGCTATCCACACCATATTCTTTTGTGAGGTAAAGTCAGACAAGAGAAGTGGGAGAGATTTGAGAGTGATGTTGGTTGTTGTTCACCTGGAAAAGAGATGGGTGATAGTTTTCAGAGAAGATTCAGTTTGTTTATAAGTTAAAGGAGTTTATTGGCAAAAACTATACAGCTAATGCATAAAAATGTTGTCAAGCAGAAAGTCCAAAAAATGTTGAATTAAGCCTCATTGTAATTTAGATTTATTCTGATAAAAATATATTAAGACGTAGTTTTAAAACACCTTGTTTATAAGACTTTAAATTTTGAAATATCACTGTATGTTTTTGCCCTTAATACAGTTTAGACTGAATTTTCATTATGTAATAGTCATATTAAAAAAATTAATGGATTCTGAATTTGGCTCAATTGCAATTTTTTGCTAGGAACAATTACAGATTCTTCTAAAAGTAATTATAAAGAGAGTCGATTATTTGTGTGTGTCTGAGGCTGCCTCTGTAATGTTATTGTAACTGGACAAATTATATAATTGAAAGAAATAGTATTTTGCTACTGAAGTGCCATATATATAGTTGCTGTTCAGAGTGACTTTCAGTTTTGTAGCAGCTTCTTGGGACTGGAATATTTCTGCTAGAGGTGGATCCTGAGTAACCTTTTCCTCAGAACCCTTCTTGTGGGGAAATGTCAGACTGTTGTTGTACATCACTTGTAAAGATCAGTCATGAGGAAGAGAGAGTGAGTTAACGAGGTCAGGGAGTGTAGAGCCGCCTGTGCCCGCCTATATCCAATAAAGGCCCTGTATTGCACAACTTGCAGTGGTGTTCAGAGCTCTTCCGTTTGCTGCTGTTCTTTCTGCCAACACTATTGATCAGTCCTTTGCCTTGTGTGCACTCCAGTCCAAAATAAAGCTGTTCCTGCCCAGAGGGGCTTTTGCCTTATCTCAGTCTCCATTATTCTGTGCAGCAGATCATTGATATGAATTGATGTTAACCACACCTAGTCTTTTGGGCTAGAGCTGGCTGGAGTTTGGCGTGTAAGTTCCCTGTAATTTGCCACACATTTAGGCACAGCTCCCACCCTAGAGGAGTGTGCTATTTTGACTGACAGGGAGTCTGTGCTAGTGCAGGATCTCATGAGTAGCCCCTAGCTGTGGGAGGAAGTGAGCTGGTACAAGCTGATGAATCCAGCTAGTCACACCAGCAATTGGTGTACATACAGCAAGCACAGCCTGGCTCTACACACAGTGAGAAGCTGCTGTCATGTGTGAACTATCCCCAGACTACCTCCATCTCTCAGCTTCTCAATGGATCTGGTACATGGCTCATGTCAGTCAAATAAAGCTTTGCATTGTTCACCAGTTCCTGGCTCTCGATCTTATCAGCTACAGGAGGTCTTTTCATGTTTTTTCTTCCCTATCCAAAGCTTTTTAGTCCTTCACACCTCAAATTGTATTGTGAATTCTGCCCATCACGGTGGAACTATTATCAATAATGTCTTTATGATAAAGCAGTTAATATGCTGCAAGGCTTCATCACAGATCAGCTTGTTACATCACCTTATAAATTAGCCCATATTGGTTGTGAGAAGTCATCTTCTGTTAAATAGCCAGGTTTTGTACCTGTCTGGCAGAGAGATAAGGTACAAGAGCTTGGTAGACATTTACTTTAGCAGAGAGCTTGATCCTGTGTTGACCATATAGTTACTGTGAAAATGCATCAGAAATTATGATTCTTTCCTTTTTTAGGAGATCATTTGTGGTCTCCAATGACAAGGTGGTTTTAAATTAAGCAAACTCATTAATGACTTAAAACTTGGTTCTATTGATAGATACAAAATGAAAGTTACATTTTTTTGCGGAGCTTTCTCATAAACAGTTAGCAATTTATTCAGAGGTATTCAGTAAGTAAATCATTAGCATGAACGCATCTTATTAATCCCTCTGCAAAGGTGAATGAAAAAAATTGACTTTTGCAGTCTAAATTGAGTCTGAGAACCCTTTTTGGAGGTTACAGATCATCGTGCCTCATGGCCTAAGCAAGACAAGCAGGATGTGCTTCAAGATGCATCCTGTTTTAATGTTCCTTATAAAAACAAAGTGCTTAAAAGGGCTTGATTGACCTTTATTCTACCTTACATCTCATCATGGAGATACTTCAAAATTAAGAACTGCTCTAGGCCAGGAGAGACTTTCCAGGAATCTTGAAAGTCTGGGTTTCTGATTGCATCAGAGGTTTTAATAAACTCATTAAAGCAATGTAAATGTCTTAAGTTTTACTTCTTCCTTTTCCTGTCTTCTATGGTGATAAATGCTATAAAAAAATTCCTATTGTTTGCCTGAAAACTGCTTTTTGATTTCGCAAAATAAGAATTGGCAGTGTATGAATACTGTTAACACTGATGCTCTATCACAGAAGTCTTTCATGTCATACAACTTGATCTAGATTCAGTGACAAACAGCCTTTAATTCAGTTTGTCAGCAGGTATGTCTGACTAAGATAACGAGTCTGAGAAATACGTGTTTCCTTTCCAAACAGAAGCTGACTGGCCTTATTACTGCTGGCAAATCAGCTGGGATGCTTTCACTTCATACTGTCAAACCATCCCTGTATCAAATGACAAGCCTCATCTGCGCTATTTCTTCAAATAAAGCACAGTCTCTCTGACTTTGCACAGTCAACCTCACTAGCTATTTTTATTCAGCACAGCAGCTATGGCAGTTGCCCTTCAGCATTACTTTGCATTCTGGAAGAAGGTTTCATAATTTTTTCCTCTGTGCTTAGAAGTTTCAGATGGTAGCTGTAACTGACTGCAATAACGCTTGGTTTGACCACAGGAAAAGAAACAAGTATTAAGCAGACACAGCATGTGATGTCTTTCAGGAAAACACGCAATTTTTAGAAGTTTACCTAGTAATCTTAATTCCCAGTTGCGAGTTATCTGTACAAGCACAGAAGAGCACTGTTGCCTTTTTATGATTTTTTTTTTTACAGCACCCTGTATTCTAGGCTGGCTGTACACAGCTTTATCCTCACATTACCACCCTTCTGCCTGCATACTTTTCTACAGGATTTGCTCCCAGCACTGGCAACTGCAGGACATCACTTACATTGAAAGAGCTATAACAGCTTATACAGCACCATCATGGATCTTTTTCTGGGTCAATACATGACTGTGCTAAGTGTCTCCACTTCTGTGAACTTATTATTTAGAGGTTTTCACCGTTTTTGTAACCCAAAATTTGCATGTTAAAATTAAACTTATTCAAAAAATGTCAGCTGTGAATTCTGAAAAAGCCACATACATAGTTTAACTGGTCAGCCAAGCCTGTTTCCCAGGGAATTGCTGACAGACAAAATCATGACTACCAAAATCATGTTCTTGGTAAAATCAGCTTTTGTAAGCAACTCTTTCTCCTCTAAATTCTGGCAATAAGATGTAATTAATTTCTATGTCTAAATTCAGTTTGACTTCCATTCATTGAAGAATATTCAGCTCAAAACAAGTGGTAGGAAATAGGTTACATCCTGCTGCCAGTCCAATATAGAATGCCATTTAGAATTTAAAGGCAAACGTCATTTATGCAATGCTCTGATGAAAAAGAAGTGCTACCTGTAATAGCAGACAATTTGGTACACAATGTACAGTTATTTGTACATTTTGAAAAGCTTTTTACAATGAGCTGTATAATCAAACCAGTTTTGTGTTGTATATCAGTCCTGGGAAAATACTAATCCAATCAGAATCCTTAAGGCTGACTAATGCTAATGCTTACTGAATAGAAGTTTTCACAGTTGCATGCAAGAAACACAATGAAAAATGAAGAAATATGAAAATAGTAGTTGCATTACTGAACTTCGCTTTCTGAGTTGAAAAGCCAATTTTGTGAGCTATACAATAAATCAGAATATGATAAATTAGAGGTATTCAATTTAAATTTTGATTAGTTTAGAGCCATCCAAATTCAAAGCATCTATTTTCTATTCATTCTTGTTGAAGATCAAGTCCTGCATTCCACCTGCAAATAAGGTCTTCCTGTAGCTGTAAAGTAGACATGAATTTGGATTCTTAATTTTCCTCTATTTTCTACTTCTTTTGAAAAACATATAGCTTGGACAGATATGAAGAACAAAAGGAACAAAATGTAGAAGCATTTTACAGTCCATGACTTTGTAAAGTGTCTAAAACTCTGATGAGCTTCTAACAATAATCTTTATTTTTAATGGGTGCTAACCCACATGCCCAAAGTAAGAATCTTAAAACACTAAAACCATAAAAATATGAACTGTTATTTTTTCTAGATTGTCCTATGCTTTTTTAAAATACTGTCACCCCACTGCTTGTTTCTGAAAACAGTTATCATTTTCCTCTAATAGCAGCAGCTAGCCAATTTCACTTCACCTAAAGCCATCTTTTCCAAAGAAAATCTATGGCAAAGCTAAGTTCTGTCACTGATGTGTTTTAATAATTTGTGGAGAGTGTTGCAGGGTGACACTAATATTTTCAGTTAGCCTGGTTGTTTGCAAGGTAGCTGCCTCCTAAGCAAGTAGAAGAGATATTCCATGAAATCCACTCTGGGATGGAAAAGCACATAGAGGATTTTCACAGAAAGGAAGAGAGTGGAGACCGGACAATATCCATTCCAACACAAAGCATTAAACGTGGCTGGGATAACCAATGGTGTTATCCACTGACAGGGGCTGAATTTTTCAATGACTTTCTGACTAAAAACTGGTTCAGCCAGCTCTCTACTGCTTTTCCTTTTCACACTACCTCAGGCCTTAATCTGCAGAGGACATTCTGGGGTCAAGCTCTGAAATGAGTAGGAGATGAAGTGTTATCCCCAGTTTAAACTGTTTGCAAGATAACATATTTGAAACAGTTATCTCAGTACCTTGTGTAAAGGAGTGAGGAAGCTATCAGCAACTCCATGGGTCAACATTCAGAAAACTACCATGAAAGAACCATTTCTTTATTTTTTCAGTGCTGGAAAGAGTTTAGCCACAAGGCTGGCTTTACATTTTGCTTTGATTGCATATGCCAGTGAAAAGGTTGAACTGATTTGAACTTTGTGAGATGGATAGCAGCTGTTGTACTAAGCTGTTTAAGCCCACCAATTTGGGCTTAAACCTTGGCTGAGTAAATACAAAGCCTTAACCATACATAGTACCCGTAATGAGCTTTCCTCTTCCAATTTCTGTGAACAGAATTTGCTTTTAAATAAACAACAATTTTAGTGCCAGATTTTCAAATACCAAATTTTCCACTGACAGATACAGAAGTATCTTACAAAAAAAACCCCCAAAAAACTAAAAATAAAGCAGGTGTGTATATTTTCATTTTTCATGAATGAAGTTACTGTTCATCACTGCTGAATGCAGTATAGCTCTCTCCTCCCTAAAACAAAGTTTTAAAAGTCTAGCACTGGAATCATGAAAAAATTGGAAAAATTATGTCTTTGCGCATATGTGTGCATTTCTAGTATGTCACTGGAATAGGAGAAAGGAAGATAAAGGGGATGAGAAGAAATGTAAACAAAACCAGCCCACGAAGTGTACTACTTCCAACTTCCCGTTGGTTTCTGTAACCTTTAAAGTCTAAAAGTCAGTATATGCATATAAGAATAGCAAAAGTTCCAAAGCATTCTTTTGGAAGTCACAAGGTTGTTTCCTTATCACTGAGTAAGGCATCTAATGCTGACACAAGTAAGACAATAATGTTAATTTTTTACCCAGAAAAGAATGAGTGAACAGTTAATAGTGTAGAGAAAGAAACATTAGTTCTGAGACATAAGCTTGTTACAATTCAGAATTATACTTAACCCCAAAAAATCTGAAGGTCCTTTGCCCAGTATCTCAGCATATCACAGAATTTCACAGGGAATGCAGAACCTTTAATTTAGTGGCAGCTTGATGTAGAAATATATAGCAAAAGAGATTTCTCAGTATCATACTGTAGGTTTTTCATAGACAGAAATGTAAACAAACCATCAGATGCTTTGTCAAAATAAAACTCAACTACAGGAACCAAAAAGAGGTATGCATTATGTGACTATTTCATCGATTTACTATTTGCAAACCTTGGCAGGTTTCATTGCAGCTTTGAAGCTACCTCCAATTCAGTGACAGACGCACACAGCTGCTAGGATTGTCCAGTTCAATCTGCAGTATTTCATTAGAACCAGAGGCCTCAGGTATAGGTGTTGGATCAAAGGTTAGGGTTTGTATCCATCCTCCTTCTTTACACCCATTGATGGCAAAAGGCACAGATTCAGGTGAAAGGCTTTTGGGCAAAGCTAGGTGAACGCCTTTTGTTACTAAGAGGGTTTTCTCTGCTATTTCCTGCTCTTTTGGATGTGAAACTTTAGTAAGAGAAACTAAAAAAAAAAAAGATAATAAAAAAAATATCAATATTTAGTCTCTTGTGACATTCTTCTTGGAAGCTTTGCACAGTGCAGTCATTGGTGTTCAGCCACTATCTAACTCCCATCCTGGGGGCAACTGAGAGCTCCTGTGGAAGCTCTCCTTGGTCACTGCTTTGCACAGAGCTCATAGTTCTTCCGTGTGCTTAGCACTGTTTTTTTCAACCCCTGAGCATTTTTATGACACTGTCTGTAGTTGGAGTAGAAAGTTCATTCAAAGGGTAAAAGAAGAGCTTGTGACCATTCTCTCATACCCTGAGAAGCAGCATTCCTGTGTTCAAAGAGGATCTCATGTTAAATAAATCTTACAATGCCCATTATAAGGGTATCTGGTTGAATACTATTTTCAGTGACTTCACTTTACACATTCAGCAAACAAAAGCAGAGTATGGCATGGTCTCTAGTTACAAAAATAGAATACCTCACAGTGTGATGTGTATTTTTGTTTATTTTGTTTAATTTGAAATTAAGAAGTTGTCACAGAAGATCAAATCTAATTCCTAAATTGTACATTTTTATCTGCAACGAAGGTGAAGGTGATATGGCTATTTGATTTTGGCTGGATTTTCGTGTTCAGGTTATTTAATTGATCTACATTTAGCAGGACAGATGACCTTAATAACTCATTGGAGAACCTCACAGAATTACTCAGGTACATACAATTATTTATGTATATGAACATTTGTATGTTAATAGTTGACACCAAGGTAAACACTAAATTTTCTTAAAATCTATTTTCTGTTATTTCTTTCAGCTTTACTTAAGAGGTAAGGTTCAATCCTTTTCCCATAGCTGTCTCTTAGCATGTTGTGATAGACATGTATAATTATCAGGACACATATACAATATGTATAATTAGGTACTTCTTTTTGTTTCCATTTCTCTCTTCTTTAGTTCAATTCTATAAATTGATTTCCTACCTTTTCTTTTGTTTTTGGAAAGATACAAAAGTTTACTTTGGAACTCTATTCTGTCTTTTGAGAATGCCCTTCTCACTCATGCTGCTGTCATTTTAGTGTTCCTAAAGCTGTAATATTTTGTGATTCCAAATATGTGTATGTGCTACATCAACTATTTGTGACTACAGCAGAGGAAAGCCTTCATTTTCATCAGTGTACCAGGACAATAAAGATCTTTTATCTTCTAGCCAAATGTAACTTTGGTTCCCGAATTTACTGAGCATCTCAGAAGCAAGAACCTTTTGGTTGCTAGTAACTTTTTAGACGAGGAATCTGTAACTTGCTTGATCTTGGTGGTCAAGCACTCTAGGGTTAATATTATCTCTTCTGTCTTCCAAATAGTGCTCACACCTCTTACAGAGGAAGAGTAAGTGACTTCCCCATGACCAGCTGGAAGCTGGTGGCTTTATTTTATAAACCAGTTTTAAATCCTTTGCATGTGCAATGCTGTACTGTGTCAGACTGCTGAGCTGCTGCTGCTGTTGCCTTGCAATACGCTCATGTGCATCCTGGTAATAGACTTCCAGCGGGAGTTGATGTAAGTTTACCACATGGCGCAATGCCAACTGCAGGAAGCAGAGCTTTTCAAAACTTTAGGGAGTGTATTTGCAGGAAGTTACATAGTGAGAAGTCAGGATGACGACCACGGACACAGTTGTGTGTGAGGAGGAAGGCACACTGTCACATGAACAAGGAAATAGCACCTGAAACCGTAAAGACCAGACATCTAAAGGCCAGGTTGTGAGACAGTTCAAAACATCATGGAAGCTAGTGAACCAATTCATTAGCCTGGTATGAGTAGGTACATACAGAGATTTCCCTCAAGATGCAGCACTTAACTAAAATGTCCTTATTGACATTAATTTTACACTGCACAGGGCTTTATCATATGGATGTAGTTTCACTGAATCATAACAAATAGCTTTTGTCTGGGAACTAAAGGTTTTTTCACGTAGTCAAGCTTGTTCATTTTAACAGCAGAGATTACTTAAATATGGTATCTTTCAAAGTGTATATGTATATTTGAAAATGCATTAAAGTGGCTTGTATCAGCAAGTTAGAACTCAGCAAGATAGGCAGACTTTTTCCACTGCACTGACAAGTCACAAAGCTTGGCCTGCTAGTACTTGCATTAGTCTCTCATTAGAAATTAGTAGTAAACCATTGTTTTTATAATACAAGAAAGGACTCTAACCCGAGGACCAAAAATTACTTTAATTTTCTTTAACTGCATTTAACTTTCACAGAATTGCTAGAATGAATCAGAACACTCCAAGGTTCTTTTGCATTTTGCTCAACACTGAACAGTAAAATGACTGTTAATGTTAAAAAAAGATTTCAAATAGATTTTCAGATTTTAAAATCTACCATAAAGATTAAAAGGTAGATTTACAACATAATCATTGAATGCACTTCTGC